AAATTGAATGGAAAGCTCTGAGTTGAATCATCACTGTCTTCTCTTACCCACCAAGCTTTATAAGCTATCACTCAATTAGAGCCCCAAAGTTCCCATCTTTTTCCTTATCTGGAATACCCTTTTGCTTCAACAGTGCAATGGCATCAACCCCAACTACCCCATCCCACTTTTCCTCCGTTCCTCCGAGACCCTCCAACAACAACCAACGCCACCACCATAACCAGAACAGGAGCCAGCACCGCCGCAACAACAACCGCAACCGGTGGGCTTCTTCTTCTTCTTCTTCGACCAGGTATTATTCACCTCCATCAAGTGCAGGTGCAGGTGTTCCCTCTGCAGCTGCCACTGCCTCAGCTGCATTTTCATCTTCCCTGAGTCCGTGGCTCGGTGGCCAGAAAACCCAGCTTGCGCCCGAGTTTTCTGGTCGGCGGTCCAATAGGAACCCAGGGAAGATGAACTCCGGCGGCCCCAGGGCCGTCCCCAACAACCAGCAGCACTCCAAGGGGGCTGAGGAGGTCCTGCATAGCCTCACCAATGCTGGTAATGATGTTGCTGCCATAGATAGTGTGTTGCTTAATTATAGGCTATATGTTGCGGAGGATTATGTTTATTTGCTTAAGGAGTTTGCCAATACTGGTGACCTTTTGCTAGCTACTAGGACCTATGATTTTGCCATGAGTAGGGCAACTGATAGTACTTTCATGGGGAAGTTGACCAGCAACATGATTAGGACTCTTGGTAGGTTAAAGAAGATTGAGCTTGCTCTGAATCTATTTGAAGAGTCTAGGAGTAGAGGGTACGGAAACACTGTTTATTCTTTTTCTGCCATGATTAGTGCTCTTGGCAGGAATGATCGCTTTCAGGAGGCTGTGAGTTTGTTTAGGAGCATGGGATACTTTGGTTTGGAGCCCAATTTGGTCACATACAATGCTATTATAGATGCAGGGGCCAAAGGGGAAATTGCCTTTGAAATAGTTGTTAAGTTTTTGGAGGAGATGATAGATGCAGGTTGTTTGCCAGATCGGCTTACTTACAACTCACTTCTCAAAACTTGTGTCCCCAAGGGTAGGTGGCAATTATGTAAGGATTTGTTGGGTGAAATGGAAAGGAAAGGGATTGGGCGTGATGTGTATACTTATAATACTTATGTGGATGCACTGTGTAAAGGTGGACGGATGGATCTTGTCAGGCATGCTATTGATGTTGAGATGCCTGCTAAGAACATTTGGCCCAATGTCGTGACTTATAGTACTCTGATGGCTGGCTATTCTAAGGCTGAGCGCTTTGAAGATGCCCTAAATGTGTATGATGAAATGAAGCACCTGTTGATTCGGTTGGATAGGGTGTCTTACAATGCACTGGTTGGACTATATGCAAATCTTGGTTGGTTTGAGGAGGCAGTGTGTAAATTTAAAGAGATGGAGTGTTGTGGAATAAAAAATGATGTAGTAACTTATAATGCATTGATAGAGGGACATGGCAGATACAACAGGTACGTTGAGGTCAGAAAACTATTTGATGAGATGAAAGCAAGACGCATTTATCCTAATGGTCTAACTTACTCGACATTAATTAAAATATACACTAAAGGTAGAATGTATGCTGAGGCAATGGATGTTTATAGAGAGTTCAAGCAAGAAGGCATGGAGACAGATGTTGTATTTTACAGTGCTCTCATTGATGCTTTATGCAAAAATGGTTTGATCAAATCTTCTTTGAGGCTGCTTGATGTGATGATAGAGAAAGGAAGTAGGCCAAATGTTGTGACTTACAACTCCATTATTGATGCCTTCAGAGTAGGACTGACACCAGCTCTGGAATGTGGGGTTGATACTTCTTTTCAGTCCAATGACCTTCAAATTAAACACTCATCTTCTACTGTGAGTACCTTTCTAGAACAGAAGACTGACAATGGGAACAATGATGAAATCATGAAGATGTTGGAGCAACTTGCTGCAGAAAAAGCAGGTCTTACGAAGAAGGATAAGAGGAGCACACAAGACAATTTGTACATAGTGCAGATCTTTCGACAAATGCATGAAATGGAAATCAAACCTAATGTTGTCACATTTTCAGCCATCTTGAATGCCTGCAGGTAGCAGATAACTATCTGATATTTCTGTTTGTCTTTCACCCATTTTATTCTATGTATTCACTTACATGTTACCCTAGAATAGAATAGACAAATGAGAATGGAAAGGTATAAGCCATTCTTTATCCCTAGTAATGTAGCATTCATAATTCAATATTGTTCACACCCGTTAGTTCTGTAGCAGTGTTATTTTATATTCTACTTTTTTCTTTCAGTCAAGTTAAAGTTACTATGTATGTCTATGATTAGATGTACTCTTAGGCTTAGGGTTTTTTAAAAGCTTAATTTGCTATATAAGAGGGGTTTGTTGCTGTATTATGTCCTTTCTTAAATTATTATTTAAAAGTATTGGCAAATTTTCTATACTAAACCTTTTGTTCTATTTCTCTAATTAATAACTAGAAAGCCAGGTATTTGGCTGTGATTTATTTCACTTTGTGAGTGAATAACACCTTTTGTCAGCTGTATTCTGTTATTTAGATTTTTACATCTGTCATTATTGCTTGATTTCTGTCAGTTATTTACAGCTGTCACTGCTAGGTTTTACACGAGCTTCTGTAGTTTACAACTTCTCTATAATTTCCTCTCAGTTTTTCTCTTAATACAATTTGTCCTATCATTTTTATCTTCCTAGTTATACTGAGTGCTACTTCTTCAACCCAAAGGATTTCAGACATTACCTTGTTATGGATGATGTACTCGATGTTCTTTTACTATTTGACACTGTTACTGTTTCTGCTTTCCTTTATTTGTTATAGTTTGTATTTTGATATTCTCAAATAAATACAACCAATTATTAATTGCGTAATTTGATGCCTTGGATGCAGTTGTTGTGAGACATTTCAAGATGCTTCAAAGCTATTAGACGGGCTCCGTGTGTTTGATAGCCAGGTCTATGGCGTAGCTCATGGCCTACTCATGGGTCATGGGCAAGGCATATGGGATCAGGCTCAAAGACTTTTTGATGAACTTGAGCACATGGATTCTTCAACAGCATCTGCATTTTATAATGCTCTGACTGATATGTTGTGGCATTTTGGTCAGGTAAAATTGAGTACTTAGAATATTGCTACTTATGCATATGTTACCTTTGTAATTTTCTACGACATGTGTTGTATTGATGTCTAATCAGTGGAATGATTAATATTAGGAGTTTACAGTAGATACACCCTTTCGTTTACATTGATCAAACTTTTCCATTTTTTTTTCTGTTTTTATAATAAATTGAGTTTTGCATCAGAAACTTGGGGCTCAAATGGTTGTGATTGAAGGGAGAAACCGAAATGTGTGGAAAGGGGGCTGGTCTACTGAATGCTTAGAACTACATCTGACGTCTTGTGGAGCAGCCTGTGCAATGGTGCATTCATGGTTGCTCGAATTGCGAACCACTGTTTTTGGAGGACAGAAGCCACCTCCTATATTGAGGTTTTGAAGTTTTCCCTCTTAAGATTATTGTTATCCTTTAATTAGATTGGTGAGGATTGAAGTTGTAATCATAATCTTTTTGCAGCATATTAACTGGATGGGGCAAGCATAGCAAAGTAGTGGGCAACGGTGCTTTAAGAAAGGCTGTTGAGGCACTCCTGAATGGCATTGGTGCACCCTTTCAGATAGCTGAGTGTAATTTGGGGAGGTTTGTATCAGACGGAACTGAAGTAGCTGCCTGGTTGAGACAACCCAGCACCCTGAATGTGCTACTTCTCCATGATTACATTGTTTATTCTCAACCAGTCGAGAGAAACCAAACATTTTACATACCATCTCTTGGAGCTTTGTAATGATCAAGTTTTTAAATCAAGATTCAAATTATCAATTGCAAAGTTCATTTTGAAATCATGAATTGTAATTTGGTATGCACACCGTGAGAGTAAGAGAAATGAAAGTAACTTAAAATCTAAGTAAAACTTTCTATTCTGGAAATGGAACGCGTAGACAAGGAAGTACTTATAAAGTACATGAGACAGATGAAGTACCGGTTTTAATAATTAACATGGTAATTTAGAACTGCTACTCTTGATTGAATTTTCTTACATGAAAATAGTGAAAATAAAAACTGCCATTGTGTAATTGTGATCCATGTTAATAATCTGAAATTTACATAAATTCCATTCAGGTACTGAGATAAATCATTTGATGTTCTTATTGAATAGATCAATAGCTAAGGAGAATAAAAGATTCTAACAATTTCACCCTTAGGCTCGACCATGCCAAAGTGTATGTTACATCTTAACATTTCACCTTAGGGCCTAGACCATCAAAGTGTATGTTACAATCAAGACCCCCAACCTATACAGTAATGAATAGAGTTTCAGGTCGATCATGAAAACTATCAGCAGATAAATGGAATTATAGACGGCATTCATCAGCCAGATAATAAACACAGCAAATCACTTTGTTTGTCAATTTCTTTCAAGGGTAACCTTAAACTACACAGTACAAAGTTTCAGTTCGGTGCAGGGGTTGATCCTCTTGAATAAAAGGAAACAATTGTAGAAGACTTGGGCATTTTCATCATTTACATACATAATCAAACAAGAAGCATCTTTAAAAAACCCTATGCATGAAAGGAAGAACGAAAGAAAAGAGTGAAGGTGATAGCTATACAGTAGCCAAGTTACAGTATCCAGAGTTACAGTAGCATTTTTGATTTGCTATTCTCTGCCAAGAAAGCCAAACGAAAAACTATTCATTATTGATCGGGTGCCTGATTCAGTTGACTGTGATTTCTACTCTTATGTGCTCCATCATTTCGAAACTGTTTGTATTATTCCGGTAACATTTTAATAGCAATTACAAGCTTACTACTTGCTGTTGCCTTACTCATAGAAGCATGAGTACTTGTGTTTTGACATCAGGTTGAAGACCACTTTCTAGCATTTTTGGTTTTGTGTAGACCTTATTTGCCAAGTTAAGACAAGATTATATACATTGTCCAAATTGGACAGATCCAAGAGGCTTCCATTTGCACCAAATTTCTATAATGCTCAGCTCTCTCCCACAACTAAGCTTCGACAAGACACTAAAACAGTATGGTATAAATGCAATATGAATTGGGATGTTTGATCTCTTTCAATCATCTCAAAAAGCTCAAGAGCTTTGTGATGCCTATTATCCCTGTTTTATTGGAACTTAGTAGAGCATTGAATGTATATGCATCTGGTTTAAGGTCCAATGATTTCATTGTGTTGTAGATCTGAAATGCTTGCTTGAGTTCCCCTGCTCTGCCAAGTGAGTTAATTAATGCATTGCATGCAACTAAGTTTGGCTTAAGTTCACCCTTCAACATTGTCTTAAAGACACTTAATGCAGCAATCCCATTTTCCCCCCTCCTTAGCACATACAACAGAGCCGATGATAGCATTTAATATAAAATTGTGTCTGGTTTAACCCCTTTTTAACCATTTTTCAAGGTAAGCATAAAAAGCAAGGTACTTTGGTCACATCGTACAAACTATTGATCAATAGGCGAATAACGTGACACAGGTTCCAGCACACCCATTTTCCTTCATACTCTTCCACACTTCCTCTATTTCATAAACCAATTTGTCAACATTTCTGCAGATAGATATCAGGTGTTGTAAACATTGCAATCAAAATCCTTTCTCCAACATCACATTCACTTTCCAGCTCTCTGAACAATCTAAGACTGAATCGCAACAATGAGCTTTTGCATGTGCCATAAGAATCAAGCTATAAGTATGTCCTGTAGTTATCCCTTTTGCTATAGTAAAATCGAACACTTTCAAGCAATCATCATACCACCCATTTCTGAAAAGACTAGAAACAAGAGAATTACAAGCATGGATATTAGGAGAAAGACCCGATAATTCCATAGACCTGAAATACTCCATTGCCCTTCTAATCTTGTTAGTTCTCTGCTAAGCACCACAATCCTATTAGATAGACCAACACCTCTCATTCCATCTCCTTCCTCAGAAAAATTTCCTTGCTCCATTATTAGTCCGTCCCCCCCTCCCCCCCCCCCCCCCTTGGGGTGGGGGAAGTGATAAAGTAGTTTCCACATGTCTAGATAAAGGTGTCCACCATCCGTCTGCTTCTTCGTCCCCAGGGAGCCAATCCTTCTTCGTCTTCGCCCCAATATATTACATCTCCATTTGCTCTTCTTTTCGGCATTGTTGCTAACAACATTACCATCTTGTGCTCTCCCCACGGAGGCAATTCCTTCTTGGCCACAAATATGTATCCTCCCCATTTGTTATTCTTTCAACAACAACATCATTATTGTAGTCAAAATCATCATCACCATCATCTGCTTCTGACGAGGTAGGCAATTTTCTTAATTGGCCACAAAATAACACCACCATGTGCTCTTCTCTCAAGCATTGGTGATTACCATTGTTATTGCGTATCCTCTTCATCACTTTGACTACTCCCCAGGGAACAAATTCCCTTATTAGACAGCAACATATGATTTAAACACTTTCCATTCTTTTTTAATTACCATTACCATATTATCATCCAATTTTTTTTTTTTTTTTTTTTTTTTTTCCCCCCACCCCCCCCCCCCCCCGGTTTTCCCCCCCCCCCCCCCCCCTTTTTTGGAGGGGAGTTTGTTTTTTTTTTTTTGTTTTTTTTTTTGTTTTTTGTCTTTTTTTTTTTCCCCACCCCCCTTTTTTTCCCCCCCACCCCCCCTTTTCCTCCTTGTCCCCTCTCTCATTTCACCCCACCCTTCTCTCCGTCCATACTCATCCATCATCACCATCATCTCATCATCATCTTCTTCTTGTTCTCTTCCGTTCCACTGTCTCCCCAAGGCAACAATTCACCCCCCATTCCCCCCCTTGGACACGTATAGTTGTATCACATTGTCCTCTTCTTCAATGTATCATCATCACCATCTATCTTCTTCCAGCTCTACTTCTTCCTCCCCAAGGTGGGCAATTTTTCCCCCCCCCCTTCTTGGGACAAAAAAGAATTGGGCATCAATATTTCTCTCCTCCTCATAAACATAATCAGGCAAAAGCACGTTCTTCTTCTTGCTCTCCCACAACAGAGTCCACAACAAGCATGAAACCAAGTCCCCCCCCCCCCCCCTAGGGCCCCCCCCCCCCCCCCTTTGGAGGGATTCATGAACCCCTGCTGACTCCATTTGAGTATTTGGGTTGGTGACAAGAAAACCATGTCCAAGGTATCTATCACGGGGGGGCGTTTTCACATAAGCTTTGGTACCGGTACGAATAGGAGCACTGAGAAAGGGGAGAATAAGAAAGCTTGAGAAGATTAATGTGGTGAAACGAAACTGGAAAACGCAACAAAAGGGGCATATCCATATTTTTTTTTTTCCAAAAAAAAAACAAAAAAACCCGGTACCCGCTATGGAGGAACCACCGAGAATAAAACAACCAGCATGACCCACTGCATGAAACGCTAACTGCTAAGAATCTAGAAAAAAAATGGAACCTTCCAAAATTGAGAAAGAAAAAAAAAAAAGTACACCGCAGCTATGTCCCTCCTCTCTCGCAGAATAAGAAGAAGCTTTTGGATAGGGCTTGTGTTTAAGATGAATCCTGTTCAATGTGAAGTCCGTTGATGGTTTGAGAGATAGATGAACGGCAAGAACTCACGCAATAGCCTTGATAATGTGATGTTGGATGAAATAATACTGGATATTTTTTTTTTTTTTTTTATTATTATTTATTACTAAAACCATAATTTTAAGATATGTTCTTCACATTTTTTTTTTTTTTTTTTTTTACCCACATTGATAAAATATTAAAAGTTACAAAAAAAATAATTAAACTCAACTTCTAAACCTCGATTTTATTTAACTTATTTTCCTCTCTTAAGTTTTTTGGGTAAGTTTAAATCAATTTTAAAAACTATTACCACACACATAATAGCTTTAGAGGATTTCTCTACCTTTCCAAAGTTTTCCCCAAAAATAATAAATTTCAAATCATCAACAGTGGTTTCATAATAGTAACAATGAAACATAAAAAAGAAATTGTAAGTTTCCTTGTTTATTGTAGAAAATTTTTAGAAAAAGTTTTTTGTGTTTTTTTCCTTGTTTCAACTGCATACTATAAAAATGTTAACTTAGAAACTTAGAACTTTAACAAAGTTTTTTAAGGATATCTAAACAAATAGAGTAATATATTTTCGAGAACATATAAAAGGTAAAAGTTATTTTTTTTTATTACAATTTAAATAAAATAGGTTCTTTTAAGTAAAGCAAAAGTGATTTTTTTTCATGAAAAAGAAAAAACTGAAACCAAAACGAATACTTAATTTTGCTTGACAAGCAGATAACTTACGAAATTCTTTACATTTAAAGCATATGAACGGGTTTTTACTATTGAACCAAAATCTGTTACATAATGGACATTAATTAGTGATATTCAAACATAATTCCTTCGCATTTAAATTCCAATTTTCATCACCAAATATGAACCAAAACACTCATTCTTACTGAGTCTAATTTCTCGCAAACATTCTCATGTTTAGATGCCACCACAACCATATGAATCCAAATCCAACTTTGATGAGGTTCGGTGGGTGGATCGAATACGTGATACTCTTAATGAAGTGGCTTGACGATGATGATACTTCCCTGTGTCCCATTCTTCAATGTGCCTACGACCCTTTATGGCTACTCTCCTGATTCTTATAATCCCTCAGCACAGTTTCCATAGGGCCTTATCATTGTTGGCGTCAAGAACTGTAGAGATTGGAGAGATATAAATTTCTAAATTTCTTTCTTCAGTTCTTCAGCAAAAAGATTCCAAGAACAACTAACAAAACCCCTCAAGTTAGAACACTAGTTCACACTCAATTGAATAAGTTAAGAAGAGAGGATAAGAGCATGCTAACCCACATGTACTACTTCACTTTAATAAATGGCGAAACATTGATGTGGATTGTGGTACGATGCCATCTTTTGCTTTGAGTTTCCTCTTCAAGTGATACCATTCAAGTGAAAATGATGATTCCAGGAATTTTCATCAAGAATGTCTCATTTGATGATATGCTGGGCAGGAAAATGCTCATCATTCATCTTGAAGGACATAGTAATGCTTGAAAACCAAATTCCATTTTTTCCCCCCCCCCCCTGTTTTGTGTGAGAAATAACATGTTGGTAGTTCAAATTCTTCTCATCGACAGAATTAGCAGATGACATGTTGCTTTCCATTCCATGTTGATAGGATTGTTTAAAAACGACTTTCTTTCTCCTGTTTCAGAGTGCATAGCGAAGGATTGTTCAGAGATCAATGTGTCTCCGAGTGTGCACATTTGCTAGATTTTTTGTATTCTATGGTTGTGCCTAAATTGGATGAACAATCAGATGTTGTCCAGTTTGAGGATCACCAGCACAAAGATAATGAAGACAGCGAAGAATCATTCTTGAACTATGCCAAGAAATTTCTATGTGAGGTTTGGAGCTTTTCTTTCCAAATTGGCCACAACTTTAAGTAAACTTAATTAAGAAATTCCCAAACTGTAGAACCATCAAGTTATCACTTGGTTGCCTTGGACTATAATTTCTAACCTTCTGGAGTAGGACTTATAAAGCACCTGTTGAATACTTATTTTCTCGGAAGAAAAAGAAGCAAGAACTGCAGAAAATGGGAATTTAAGCTCAGATAATGACAGCAACAAACCACCCTTGATGGAGGAAATTGCTATTCCTTCCGTCACGGAACTCTCAAAGGCTGGGGTTTGTTTCATGGCCACCAATGGAGACATATCAACCATAGGATTTGATGTAGAAACAGTAACACTGTATCTTCCAACAATTGGTTTAGACGTAAACAGTGAAGTGATACTGAGAAACTTAGTTGCTTATGAAGCATCAACTGCATCAGGGTCACTGGTTTTCACCCGTTACAACAACAACAGATTGATGAATGGGATTATAGACTATGAGGGAAGATGCGAAGATTCTTTCTTTAGAAAAAGGGGTTAAAATTTTGAAACATTTGACGAGTGATGAAGAGGTGGCTACCCTGTGGAATGGGATGACCAAGTCCATTAATGACCAGGGTGCCATTCCTGATAAATTTCATTGAAGATGTTACCGACCCGGCATTATAATGGTAAGGTGTATCAAAGTTTTGAATTCCATGAAGCTTAAAATTATTTGCTTCATGGCAATTTCTATATTCCTTGCTGCCATCTTTCCTCTTACTCTTGATGTCCTTACAAGTATTCTGCTCTTTTTCTACTTAAATGCCTCGCAGACACCGTGTCACTGAGACTAATGAATCACTTAAGGAAATTCTATTTTCTGCTCGGCTCAATATTTTAAATGTCTTCTTATTTAATGTCTTCTACTTTTACAGAAACAGCAGGAAAATTTTTAGCATTGTCAAATTAAGTCATATCAGTGGTTTATACTTAATTGAATGAGAAGCACATAGATAAATATCTTGCTGGAATCCTTTTTGGTTAAAAGTTAGCACAAATATACCTTTTTATGTACGAATTTCCCCCAGTCTATCCATTTTTCGTACAACCTCTACAATTGTCAAGTACAACCTTAACCTTTAATTAAGGCATAACCATCCAATTAGTTCTTTGATAACATTATTACCATGTATTACAAAAATATACTCAGGAATCTTAAAATGTTCTTCCACTCTGGTATTCTCTTCTGGCTTTTTGCAAACAGAATTTGAAATATTTATAAACATATTCAAATAAAAATACAAATGTTGAGGCAAATGAGTTCCTAGCAACATTTCCCAGAGATAGTCACCATCAAGTAAGTTACCACTATTTAATTTGAAAAATTTGATTTCAGGGACAATGAGTATACGAAGTAATTCTCAAATCTACACTCAATTTTCTTGAACAATATAAAAAGAGAACGGGACAGGAATAAAAATGGAAGCTGTAGTTTTCTCTTCGTCAATTCTTGAAATGTATACCATTTTCTTTACTAATTCATTCCTTTCACCAATATAATACATACAAATGCCAAAGAAGGTTTCTATTATACATTTAGGACAAACACTCCCCCAAAAGGGAAAGGGATAGAGAGTAATTGTTTCGAAACAAACTTTCAAACTCCTCCTACCCACAATGGCAAATTAACAGAGGAGGTTTGGCCATGTTGCAGACTGCAACCTTCTGAAGCACTTTGGTCACGGGGTAGCTTCTCTGTTTATTCAATC